ATAATTTGCTCTCTAGAAACGGAGACTTCAGAAAAAGGGATAGGAACAGGCTTACACCACCAGCTGTATCCAGTCTTCTCGGAGAGCCAGTAGCACAACTCCCTGCAGCAGGCACTGGAATCAGATTGTGTCATTGGAAAATGATGAACTTGAACGTCTCCTCACCACGAGGGAGGAAACTTGTGCAAGATTAAAGGTTTTGATGGGAAAACATTAAAGGGACTTGGAACTCTGTGAAGGCAGAAGGATGCAGTGAAGTCCTGTCTGTCCTTCCCATGAAGGTCACTACTCCGGGCTTACTTAAGTCCTGAAGCTCTTCTTACAGAATACAACAATTTCACTACATGTACCCAAAGTAAAGCAAAAAGTTCCCAAACTGTAGTGTCTTTAAAAATGACTGTTCTGTTTTGAAAATAATTAGCTTCATTTCACAGTCAATTGGCACACAAAAATTCACTCGCAGCTTTAGGATGCAAACACTCAGAAGACGTGTGGGAGTATTTCCTTAGAAATAAATTCCTGAATCATAACTACTATGCTTGAACTAACACGTTAATAAAACCATCAATAAATTCTTCAAAAGACACCCTCCAAGTGACAGAGTTTTCCATTACACGAAGAGGCAAAACCAGCAACGTTTTGGTAGCTTAAAAGCTCTTCTAGTGAAGAGAATGGTCCTCTTGGGCGAGAACATTTTAAATACCACCTGATCCTGTAGGCTAGGCACTTAGGATGTGTAATCCTGTAAAAACTTTATCCAGCATCGTTAAAGGAGCAGCAACCTAAGGAAAATGAAGACGGCTCAAGGTACAAGACTACTTCTGCATTTCATAAGCATCTTTGATATTAAGACTAACAAAGAGTAATATGTTTCTTTAGAAAACCTACGAAGTTCAAGAAAAAAGGATGAAAGAAAAGGCAGACCTGTTATTTTGGCAAATCTGTGGAGGAAATTCTTCTTGGCTCAGCTCTGAAGAAAGTTATTATTTATAAAAGCCCATCCTTCTGTTTACTTTGGAGAATTGCTGTTCCAAGTTAATGTGGCTTGGTGAGGAAAGCATATATATGAATGTTTCATACCAGGAATGACAGACTGACATCCTGAACAACCCAAACAGGATGAGAAAGAAAAAACCTAATGTGTTTTATGCTAAACAGAGAATCCAAGTTAATAAATTGAAACTAGCAGGAAAAGATGGTCCTCATCAAGCTTTGTGCTTGACTGATACCACCCTGTAGAAACTGAGAGCTTAATCACATTCTTAATCTAGCATCTTGACGGCGTTTGGATTCTTTTGCAAATCTTAGTTGATCATTCTTTCTTGGAGGAAGAAGAAGATATACCCTTCGTGGCAGACATTAAGCATCTCGGCTGTCTCCATGATGTTAGATTACCATCAATAAGATTGCTCCAGACGCTCCTTTTTATTTTAATCCATTGTGTGATTGAATTCAAAGACTCTCAGCAGCACCCCACCAGCAGCTGGAAATGACTCAACTGATTTGGAAAGAATTTTCTTATCCTTTCAATTAAAAAAAAAAAAAGTGTCTTTCTGAGGCCTCGTTGCATCATATTTAAGTACAGCCTACTGTATTTGGACACTTTAGTACACTCTGGCTGTATTGATAAGAACATGTTTCCACTGAAAGAAGCACCACTATGAAGTGTAAATGAGCTGTTGTTTCAAATGCAAAGTTTCAGGGACTGCAATGAGTTTCTTTGCAATACAACATAAATTAAGTAATCCTGTATAACGCAGGAGTAGGGGAGTATTTTTAATCCGTGAAGTATATTGCCTCAAATAATCACTGAATTCAAAGGGTGATGCAATGGTTACTTGCAAGATCCACTTTCCAAAATGCTGCTTGCCTGTTGCTGGAGCGCAATGCTGCTTGCAAGCAAGACCAAATTAACGTCTTGCACAATTTCAGGAGGAAGACACCAACACAGAACTTCTAGGAAGGACTCTCCTAAATGCGCTTTTGCACTGCCAGAAGGTCTGTGTTAGTCCTCCAGCACAGAGGCGTTTGCAAATGGTACCCAAATTATCCCACAATGAGGGCTTTCAGCCTTAACAAGCAGCATCTTAAAAAACTGAATAGATCAGAAAAGTGAACGAGCCTCAAAGAACGAAGAGTTCTAGGTAACCTTTTTTCCCCTCTCAGCTCCTTACGAAAGGACATTCAACACCCCTTTCCTCAGCAAAGGAGCACCTTTTCATCTTGGCTAGGTCAATATGATAGGCACACTTCTAAATAAATGAGGTAAAGAAAGAGCCCTAGACTGTGGAGTCTGTTTTAAAGAACGAAGAAGCCTGACGCTACTAAATCAAAGACGACTTCAAGCTGAAATTTAAACACACCCCAAATACCCCCGTCACGCAGTGCCGGCACCTGCCATTAGCCGTTTTCACACACGAGAATCAATTTTTCGTCATGCATCGGAGCGAAGTTTGCAACACCTCTAGACTACTTCTGAATTCTAGCAGAAAAGCAAAGAACCTGGGGTACCAAATAACCAACCTAAGCAGAACCCTGTAGCTTGGCAACTTGGGAGATGGAGCAGTTTGCAAGGGGGTTGCTTCCACCTGCTGGAGATGGGTAACATTCACGTGAGACCAAAAGACCCTACTGCCTGTGGGGATGAAGAGAGCGATGGTTTGGGGTAGCGGGGATGCTTTCACTCCACACTGAAAGGGCAGCGATCTCACCCGTGCAACCAACTCAGATTTCACCCAAACCACACATCTACACGCACAAGCACACGAGAGGCTTGCCGCTGCCAAGATGACCAAGTGTTAACTGAAATGGAACGCGCAGAGATCTCAAATCCTCTGAAGTCATACCAAAAAAAAAAAAAAAAATCCCCCAAAAGACAAGAAAATTTGACCTCAAATGCACACAGGGCTCCTACTGTATGCTTCCCCAGAGATGCGCCCGTCGCACGAGCTCAGGCCCCGCAGTGCAAAGAAACGTCCCTTTCCAGCAGGGCAGAAAGGAGAATTTCACCTCTGCTCACCTCTCCAGATGGCCAACACAGGGAAACCAGGAGCAGCTCAGTCTCCAAACATCCTCCTTGCCCAGCATGATTACTTCTACCCTGCACGCACTGCTCTCCGAGCAGCAGCCAGACCGGCTGGCCACTGCCAACACACGCAGCCCCCGTGCCTGTTCGGTTCTGGCATTCCTCTCCTTTTGGACAGCGAGAAGTTTTGCTATTCAGTTTTTCCTTTAGCTTTACCAGCACTAGCGGAATATTGAAACTACTCCCCCAACCGCCACCGCCACTCTGTTTCCCCTTTCCCATCATTCGAAACGCCTCTTTTATTGGAAACTGCATTTAAGACGTGATTTGGAACAAATAATTTGATTGTGCCTGCTGATGCGCTGTCTCAGCGCCGCGCTGAGTCGACACCCGAAGCCATCTTCCTCTCATCCACAAACAGTTGTAAAGAAAAAAAGCCACTTCTATTTAATTCCTTAACAATTAGGAATTAAGTAATCTAGACATCATTCAGCTTCCAGCGATACGATCTCTTCTATTTTGCACTGGTTTTAGTAGTTTAAAGACATTCAATCTATAAGCGGTTTGCTAAGACGATCAGAGTTGCAGTTCTGTTTCTGCAGTCACTCCGACACGTGCGGTTTGCTTCATATACCTGTCCCAACCCCGTACCCCTCACAGACAGGACCAGTGATTGAGCTGGTTTTATGGGATGCTGTGAAAGTGAAAAATATTTGCCTGTGAATAGCATACCAGGCAATCCACGCCACATCTTCATTCACAACAATCCTAAAATACGTGCGTTATAAAAACAGGATTCCTCATAAATCACCGTTATTGTAAGTTATCTCGCATTTTTCTTTTAACTAACGTTGTTTAGATTTTATCATCAGCCAATTAGAATAATTACATGCAAGCTTGCTGCAGCAGATAATTGTAAAACATAATAAATCTAAAGACATTTGTAGAGAGTTACCCGTTCAATGAAAAACCACACAAACTTCAGTACGTAAGCAACTTAAACACCCTTTTTCAGCCCATAAAGACTCTTCAGACTTTCAGTACTATTTATATTGCTGCTTTAATCTGAATTTGGCAACATAAGGATGTATAATCTCACACGCCTTTCTCCTGGCTGACTTGGATTCTGGTATGCAATGAAACCCAGGCTAACTCCCAGCACAAAGTTCCTCAAGTCAGCTTGAGGGAGTTTAACACCACACTCCCTTAGAGCCCTTAGGAAAAAAACATCCAAACCCCTGCATCAGTAGCATTCCTGGATCTCTTAATTGCCAGTGCTTCATAAATCAAACAGAACGGTCATCTCGAGACAGAGAAGTAACTACTGCAGATTCAAAAGAAGTCAAGAAAACATTTTTCTCCCTGGCTGTACGCTTTAAAAGCGGCCGCTCATCTCAGACTACAAGTAGTCACACATCGAAATACATGTGAAGCCTTAGCAGTACCTCAGTAAACCACATTATTCTGAAGAGTTACCAAACACTTATCTTGCCATTGCCAGCAACAAGCTATGGTGGTTTTCTTACACGTGAGAAAGTGACACCTGACTATCAGGAAGTACTGAAGATAGTATCGTTAAGACTAAATTACACCTGTGTGCAGTGTAATTACATCATCAATATACTCTGCAAGGAAAATTCTTCGGCCTTGACATCATTTTGCACACCTGCTAAAATAAATTCCAATCTTTCCTCTCATTAATTCCAACAATTATCATGGTGTTTTGGGGGTGATTTAGGCTGCTCTGTGTTCAAGGCCAAAACAAAAACTACCAGTTCTTCCACAGGAGAACCAGCCTGCATTGCTGTGACGCTGAGGACCAGCGCCTGGTTCTTTTGAATCCTTGGCAACACAGGTTTCTACATTTTTCAGTTTCTGGCAAGCTAATATACTTCAGAGACTGATAAGATCATACTGTAAACAGATCTAATTAACATTTTTCATGCCAACCACAGAAGCGGGAAGAATGACTTACCTGGGTCTCGACTGCTGTATGGCCATCCTGAGGCAGGTAAAAAAGATGGCATTGGAGAACTTGCCCTGCTGTCATCCTCCACTTGCTGCGTAATATGCCGCACAGTTTCTTTATTTTTTCGGTTCTTCCTGCGCCCAGTGGGTTGCCAGCCATCCCCTACTCCTTGTTCTGAGAACACGTTCTGTATTGCACTATCCTTGGCAGAATGTAGTTCACTCCCTCCATAATGTGACGGTGAAACCTGTTCCTCTTTGATACGTAAAGACCCATAGCCCATGTCACTAGACCAAAGAGACTGGGACGAAATGTCTTCGTGGCTGTCTGTTTTTGGTTCTTGATCCTCTTTTCCGTAGCTACTCCCTCCTTCGTGGCAGCTGGCAATAGCTGAATCTCCAGAGGAGTTTGCCGGACTTGTCCGCCGAGCTAACCAGGGAGATATACTCCTGCCTGCCACAACTGCTGAAATCAAAGCATCCGTACTGCTGCTGGAAGGGGCTCCAAGTTCATAATCGACGAGGTCATCCGAGGCATCTGACTTTATGCTTATGTCGAGAGCTGCTTTTATGAAATTGTGACAGGCTTGTACAATATCTGTCATTTGCAGATAGCTAGCAGCTGACATCACCTCGATGACGTTTCTGCTGGTCAGCGCTAGGTGTGCGGAATACATGAAGTCAATGATTGCTTTGAAGCCTTGTGCAGTTACAATGTCTAAATGGGTGACTGTGGCCTGGTCGGAGGTTTTCTGTACCTGGCAGTACAGCGTTTTGAAGTAGCGACTACTCCCAAGCAGAACGTTTTTGTGAGCCTTAAATATCTTCCCCTCCACTATAATGCAAACATCGCAGAGGATGCCGTGTTGTCTCTGCTCGTTAAGCTCACGCAGCAGATGACGGTAGTGGGAAGCAATCTCCATATCTTCCTTTCGGTTATTCATCTGGAAATCTTTGTGTTTCCTCTTCCACAAGTCCTGTACGGGGAAGGAAATGACAGTATTACAAAACCCAGTACACGCTCACAGACTTGGTTTTCAAAGACTGAGACAAACCCCAAGTCGTACCAAATTAAGTAACAGGTTCATCTTGAGAGAATGCCACAAAATACATCTACTGCCTCGAAAGGCTGCACATTCATTACACAATGCAGCTTATTTTTGCCAGACTTCAAATAATTTACGTTAAAAGGGACTAGATTTGAAGCTCAATCCTCCAGTGGCTCATAACATCCCAGTGAAACATTTCTTTAGATTACTACAGGCTTGTAAGAAAACCTGTCCTAAGTTACTTGGGTAAAACAGCTGTCGGGTTTTACCGTCTGGGTTCAGTAAAGTTTGGTTTTGAACGAGGTACTACGCTTGAAACCACACTGATGGAGACAAACTACTGAAGAGCACTCTGTAACACGAGTTCCTCAAGGGACCAAGCATTACGTGTCGCACACTGAAGAGCCGAAATCCTCAAACAGCAAAAGCCAATTGGAACCAGCTACTTCCCTTGCTATATTGCCCTTGAGGGGCTATAAATATGGTTTTCAAGTCAGAAGAGCAATAGGCAAATCCAAGACCACAGATCACAAAACGTTAAGTCCTCACCCAAACTAAACTGGCGATAGAACTATGAAATTAATGCTGTTTGAAGCTGAACGGCTTACAAGCACAAGATTTTTAACGTTGAGATCAAGCATGTTATTTCCTTGGCCTTACATCTCCAAGTTTACCCCACAACCACCCTAAGATATTGGGTAGAAAAATACTAATAATCACCTAAACGTTCATGTTTAGAAAGGATGCTTATGACCATGATAACAAAGCATCCATCAAGCGGAGAAGATTTCACAGGACTTTTGATCACCTTGCCTAAACGTTCATGTTTAGAAAGGATGCTTATGAGCACGATAACAAAGCATCCATCAAGCGGAGATTTCACAGGACTTTTGATCACCTTTCATAAAATTTGACAGTATTATCCAAAAAAAGGCTAGTTACTGCCAGCAGCATGGCAGAGACCCAAATCTTCTAAGTTATGCCCCAAATTATTCTCCTCTTACACTCCAAAACAGAAAACACAGGCCTTAAATGTGGATATGTTGGCAGTAATCAGTGGTGCTTAAATTTTCAGACTGAATTTTATCCCACCTGCAAAGTACAAATACAAGAGAAGTAGAACATCAACATGGACGAGCGCATTCAACGCGTTCTTGTCCCTCAAGTGAGATGACCTCAGGTTCACAACGCTCGCGATGTTCGGGATGGATGCTGGCAGCACCAGAACAGACCGACGAATTACCCTCTGCAACACCATGCCTCGGCAGCCACTACCCTCGCATACCCGTCTTTGCTGCCACGGCTTTACAAATTCCTTGGCATTAATTTCTGCCAGTTTATCTAGCTTGTACCGCTTATTTGGAAGTTGCTATTGAGATTTATATACCGTGTAACAGTGGTTTAACGGTCCAACTAATTAAGAGCGCCGAGCTGCCACACAACGTGAAGGATGTCTACTCCTTTCTCTCAAAAACTTAAATTTGTTCCAATATAAGAAGTTCCACCTGTAAAAATTGATATGTGGGTCCACGTGTCAACATACAACTGTGAAGCTGGTATCTGCTGACAAGGCCAAATTCCAAATGTAATTATGGGCAGGTGCACACATCAGAAGCCTGGATTTAGGCTGCTGGTGGTTGCTGATGAAACCCAAATCACTGTATTTCTGAGATCTCATGGTCTTGAAGCGTACATGGTTAAACGTAAGCGCTGTCAGTAAGGAGGCTGATGCGAGCTTGAAGCAACTTTCTAACATACATCGAGTTCAAACACAAATTCAGTCCCATCTGTTCAAATCGGCTCGCAGCAGCGGGCAGTCCTAGGACAGCCACGATTTAAAAAGTTTCCTGACACATGCAAGTAGGTTTCCTGTACTGTGGGATACAAATCCCTAAGACCTCTGCCCCCTTCCCCTAGTCTGCGCTATTATTATCATCTACAGGAGCAACATAGCTAGTTTAGCCAACACCATTGGCTAGAAAACAACCTCTCAGCCCACAGAACATACGTGACACAGGACCTTTCTTCTAGAGAGCCACCTGATGATTTGAAAGTTCAAGTTATGCAAGATCGCCTGCACAAGCCTCTCCAGTTCTGCAAGAACGGAGCTGTCTCCTCGGCAGTGTCAGAAATGCTAATTTGTAAGACCAGCTGGTCCCTGATCATTGAGAAGCATTTGCTTCCCTCAAGAAAGGAAGGACCGCCCTCCTGCAACACACACGGGCTGAACTGGGGTTCATCTATTTCAAATCCATACAGCTTTTCTACAGAATTAAGCACAGAATGCACAAAGAAGCTAACCTGTTTTTATTTTTATTTGAACTGGAAGAGGTCAATAATAGTGTAGCTCTACACTATCTGAACAATGCTACCCTTGAAATCTGCCTGGAGACCTCAAATCAAATTCTCAGACAGAAGCCAAAATAAGTAAACAAAAATCAAAACCAAGAATCAGTGAGTGAGGGGAACAAAAAAGAAAAAGAACTAATTTTTCAGGTGTTTGGCCCGAAAAGGTTGTGATGGAACCAGCCAGCAGAGCAGCTTGCTAACCCAGGCTCTGAAGGTGGCTGCCACCGCTTCCCAACGTCTTCATGTTTGAGAGAACCACCTCTTAAGGCAGAATGACAGTTCAGTTTTGTCTTTATTCCAGAAACCACTGCCGCATCTAGTGTTAGGAGTTGAAGAGTCAGCTTAGCCCCCTCAGGAAATATGAATTGCCACATAGGATAAAGTGACTTGTCCATCACCAATCCCATCCTCAACAGCTGCCGTATCCACATGATTCAGAGGAAGACACAGGAAAACCTCACAGCATACAATTATGAAGCGATCAGAAGGTTTCAGACATGGCATTTCCTTTTGCTTTTCCTTCAGAGGTACCAAAATCCATATTCCAAGACAGCACCTCCTTGGAATTAGTGGTGGTGGGAATCTCCTGCAAGGATAATTTTATCTTCCTCAATTTAATACAGATGAGCATCAGGAGTATTTGTCAGTGTCTTCACCTGCTTTTGCAAATGTATGCAACAACGGCTTTTCTTCTTCCATGTTTTTCACCTGGAAATTACACCGATTCCTTGAGATTTTATTTCTCTGCTATTTCATATGCTTACCCAGCTTAGTGCAGCCGGTTGGGTTCCCCCTCACTGCTGGTAACAGTCTATTTTAGATACCCCTTGTCCTTTGTTTAAGCTGCCTATGCCAGAAACCCAGATTAAAATATTTGTCTCTTGCTACCTTTGGTTTAGACTGGACCAATCTGAGGTCCAGCCATTGACTAACCTGGTGCTTCTCAGGGATGAAGCACTTGCTAGCCTCTTTATGAAATAGCTTTTCTCTGACTTTATTTCCTATCAAGGGATTTTTACTTTAAAAAAAAAAAAAAAAAAAAATCTGTGCAAGATTCCTTATTGGCCTCCCTCCCACCCACCAAGCTCTTGGCAGAAGACGCCCTCCAGGCAAGCCACGGATGAACAAAAGCATGTCACTACGGTCAGATCATACAGTCCTTGCATCTTCCTTGCTCACATTTCCAAGGACGCTGGGGACAAGAGCAGAAGATGGCTAGGCACCTTTTGGACAAGAAGCAAAAATACCTGACATTCTAAGAAAACAAGTAAAAATAATGACAGCATACTTTCCAAAGTACTTTAATTAAAAAGAGATGGAGAGATGAGCAGGGAAGATGCCCATCACAGAGAGCAGCACCCTTTCCACTGACAGCAGGCACATTACAGCACTTTGAAGGATGCAAGCAATGATGTGGACACTCCCGTGTTCAGTCTGATCAATAATATTCAACATCTTCCAAACCAGCAATTATTATTGTAGATGTCTTGATCTTCCTCTGTCTAAAGGTCTGCTACCTCATACGCACTGTTCCACATTCAACATTTGTCACAGCATTGTACCTTTTAAATGAGAGGTCTTTGGGGGAGAAAATTAAATATGCCTCAAATTCAGAGGAATTAATTAGTTTTCTGTCTACCCATGTCAAACCAGAACATCCGTTTAATGTCAAGGATCACTAGGGAATTAATCCAAGTTAAATTTAAGGCAATTTGCTAGTAGTTAAAAATTCAGGAAGCTTCAAAACCCTGTGCTCTTGTGTTCCAATTTTACATGCTGTTTTGTGGCTTGTTGTTGGGTTTGGTTTTGGTTTTTTTTTTCCCTTTTCCTGGTAACGATATTTATCTCCACTTAAAAGACATTCTGGGAAGATTTCTTCAGAAAAGCAGTACCCTTCAAACTTCTAGTGGAAGGATGGTGAAGATGGAGTAAACTGTGGAGATGTTTTAGAAACAGACCTCAACGATCAAGGATATATTTTTTGTTTTATCTCAGGTCTTTTTACTACACTGAAGGATTTCAAAGTTGAGCAGCTACTAAAATCCTGGGCCTGTGATGACAGCACATGGCCACAACACAGCTTTCCAAGAAGCCAATGAACCATGAAAGCTCATCTGTAGATTTTCCACAAAATAAACTGTAGCAGATCAGGCTTTCTTCATAAGTCAATTAGCAGGCAGTACAGTAATTCAAGTCTATTACTTTTCCAAAAATAACTACAAAAAAATTGTCCCTAAGCAAACACCACTTGATGTAACAGCAAAAAGAACAAAAACATGAACAGATTTAATAATCACTTTCATGCAAACTTTTGTCAAGATACAGGCCAGCTTTTTATTTTTCATGTGGTCAAAAACCTGGTCTTAAAGCGATCATTAATAATTTATATAATCTTTAAGCCCAGCTAGAATGAACCTAATTCTACAAATATAGCACCTATGAAAACTGTTTATTTTGCGCTACCAGTACAGTTCTTTCAACATGAAAATATCACCTGATGACATAACAGGAGTCTAAATAAACACAATCTTCACCTACTGTTGGAAAGGTTTTCAAAAGAGCAGCCAGCAATACTTACAAAGCCAACCTCTCAGCACACATACCCATAATAAGTCTCCTGACCAAAACTTTAACACCAGTAAAATTAAGGGGTACAAATCTGTCACATCTAAAACTCAGTGTATTATTTGAATTTTGATGAAAAGCCACAGACAAGAAATGGAGTACACAGATGAAAGCCTCTACAGTACAGTCCCCTGGGAAATAGTGGGGACAAAAATAAACTCCCTTCACTCAGAAGGAAAACAGGAGAAAAAAAAAAAAAAAAAAAAGAGAGAGAGAGAGAGACCAGAGTGGGGTTTTCGGGTATTTGTTGTTGGTAGCGTTGTTTGCTTGTTTACTTCTTGCTCTCTCAGAATACGAGCGAACCAAAAATTTAAACTACATGACATTTAGTTTGTTACAATTTTCTAAACATGTTTCTACACTTAATACTAAGGACACAAGTTAGGAGTACCAAAATACTCACTAGTGCACTCCTCCACCAGTCACTCAACGCTCCCTAGAGAAAACAGGCCAACTGGAATTTAACCAAAAATGTGTTGTTTCCTCCCCCCCCTCCCTTCAGAGAAAAGTAAAAACAGATTAAGGAAGAACTCAAATTCACTCCAATGGTTTATTATACAAAACCCAAACAACACACCCCACTTTTCTGCTTCCCCTGTGCCCTGTCCATGTCTCCACTCCCAAGACATTCCAACATTTTTTAAATTCCTCTGCAAAGGAGCTCTGTAAGGTGAGATTGGGCTTGAAATGCCTCCTTGCACAACAAGACACGGTGTAGGCAGGAGTTTCACTTTTATCCAATTAAAGACAACAGAAATGCATAGGATTCCTCCTATCCATGTACCCTGAGCTGAAAAGAACCGAGAACAAAAAAAAAAACTCACAACGTAACCGTAGCAACTGAAAAGGGCGGTACCTGTACTTATTCTCCTAAATGAGAGAGCAAGCAGAAGACTTGGGATATTAATGGATGATAACTCCCTGCAAAGACACTGCTCGTGAGCTTTACAAGTACAAATCTCCAGAAGTAAAGTGTTTTCTCCTAAGTATGCTTGAGGAAGAGCACACAACTCTAGAAGAGTTTTAATTTCTTGATACCAGATACCCCAAAGTTATCTTCGTATGTTCAGCTTTGTTCAAAGTAGAGACAAGTAACAGCTCATGAAAATGAACAGTTGCCAAAAAAGAAACTCTTCTTCCCTATTCCGATTCATAAAACCGATCATTCGTTGTTGATGTTGGTCAGTTCCAACCACAACTCTGAATTCAAAGAGAAACCGGCAGATGTTTGTAAACAGGCTGAACCAGACCCTTGGGCCAAAGAGGTTACTCACAACTCACAGTTTCATGAAAACAACAGTGTACCACTTCTCCCTTACGGCTGGGGCTGAGAATGTTTAATTACAGCCCAACAGTGCACGTTCATCCTTATAGCTTAGGAGTCACAGGAAGAAAAGAAAAGTTTCATAATTCAGTCTGAGAACTATTACAGAAAAGGCAAGAATTTGGGAGGCAAACAATTTTAAGTGAACTTAATAAAAATCCAAACTAATTATATTTTTACTACCAGATTTGAGAGGCCGACTCAACTCTCAATGACTGCGGAGAAAACAAAAAACCACAAGCCCCTACCAGTGTTTAATTAAAATCTGCCTGATGACAATTCACCAAAACTTCTCCTCCGATTTCCAGCCAGTGCTGCACTGACAGCATTAAAACCACATCTCCGTTTAACATCGCTGTCGTAGCTACAATCCAGACAGCCCATGAGTAGGGTTCAAACAGCAGCAGCAAAGGTGAAGCATTACACCTTCAGTAGCTGTAACACACCCGCTGCTCACCCAAACTGCTAGGTCTGAGGGCAGGCAAGGAGTCCCCATCGGTCCAGGTTAGATCTAGCCAAGAAATACGACATCAGCTGTTTACAATTGCTTCTACCATGAAAACACATAGATCTGAATGCAATTAGGAATTAAAAGAAGGCAAATTTCAGCAAAAAGAGTAAGGACATGCAAAACACTACGCGCTTCTCGTCATTCGTATCGTCGAAGCTTTGTTTCTGCAATCCAAACACGAACCACAAGCAAAGTCTAACTCCAAGAAGCAGAACCTAAAGTAACAGGGAGCTTTCATTCAACATTTCACCCTCTACTCCAGAACTTCAGACTAGAGACTTGGCTTTGGCCTTTGCCCTGTCAAATCATCTACCTGATGTTACGGGGCCAGCTATAGAGTGCAGAAGCTGGACACTACAAAAGTGCAACCAAAAGACAGAATTTCTGAAGGTGCCTTAGAAAAAGCCATCGCTTAACCTTCATTAGCTCTGACAGCGCACAAGTTTCAAGAGAAAACCAGGTCTGAAAATGAAAGCTAAGGGAAAACTGTTAGCTTTCACATGTTGGAAGGAAGGCAATTAGAAATGAGAATTAGCAATTTAAAAAATGTGAAGTTAAAAACAGGAGAGGAAAAAAAAAAAAAAAAAAGAAAAAAGACCAGAGATGCACATTTTGCTATAGTGTTCTTCAAAGTACTAAGAAGCGAAAAGATTTTGGGTGATTTTGCTAGAGAAAGCATGCAAACTTTCAACATTAAACAAAAAATTAAAATCCAAGACAATTACTTCTTACCAGTAACAAACTGGGTTCCAGGTCTAGTGTTTCTCCTACAACAGCTGAGGACATCAACAGCCCTAGGGCAGCACAGGCAGTGCACTTTTCTGCAACCTTCCAATAGCACTGGCACGAACTCTTGTAGGAGAAAGACAGAACTACGATAAAAAACAAAACCAAAAGAAGTTATTAGCAGTAAACCACAAGGTTACTGAACAACAGTGATGTATTTTTAAGAGCTTTCCCGCCAAACTCAGTTAAAACACCTCTTTTTACGACAATGAACGCCCAGAAATGTTAACTCAAAGCGTATCAATACATTGCAGGTAATTAAATCCTGGTTACCTTTCTGCAACAATATAAGCAAGAGTTACTTCTTAAAGTACAGGGAAAAAACCTCTAATTTTAGATACTAAAACTTCAAACAGGTCCTTGAAACAACAGTGTTTCCTGTTTGGTAGCTTTTCAAAACATTCTGACTTTAATGACTTTTTAAAGAGACATTTGTGGCCTGAAGGGCACTAATTCACCTCATCTGACCTATAAAACACTGAGGTTAAAAAGCTACCAGCACAACTCCTGAAGAAAAGAAATCAAGTTTGCAATGGAATATCCAAGAGAATTTTCTCTTAAGACATTTAATGGCCAGTTTCTACTGGCTGACACCATTCCAGGTTAAGAGACTAAACTATTCCAGGACTTGGAAAATTCTGTGTAAAATATAGATACTTGGGTATAGTAAGGCACCTTCACAGACAGACTTCCCAGATAAAATATTAACATTTATGACTACAAGGTATAAAGAGTAGGAACAGTTCATCTACACAAAGGTTTTTTGTCTATGAGGACACATCCACCGTAACCATCATCTTGAACAACTGTTTTTCTTATACAAAACAGACTTTATTTTCTTCAGAATAGCATATTCACTACACTTGCAACATTTAACTTCAAGGAGAGCTTCTGACCACACTGTCTTCGAAACTTTATCCTGTTGATATACTGTTAGTCATCACAGCAAAGTATGTGCCGTATCTTTCTAATCTCTATTTCAGACATCTCCAACATACAGATCAGCTCTCTTAGTGAAAATAAGCTATAAATCAATACTGTTGATTTCGAGACTGACCTTCTGTAGTAACAGATTGTGAAAGAAAACAAAGATAAAAATTAAGAAAGCTTTTCCAATACGAACTAATGTCATTATAAATGATGAAAAAACCTATCTAATAAACAAATGAATAAGGAAAATCCAAGCATTCTTATGGCAACAAGCAGAACTGTGAAAATCTTGAAAACAAATATGACCCAACTGAAGCAAATACCATTGACTTCGTTCTCAATTTCTATTTCAGACTGCCAAGTCTTGCCTTTCTCTAATTCTGATTGCTTCTCCATAGCAATTGTTTTGGCTAGCTCTTTTTAGTCCTGTTATTTAGACAGTTAAAAAAAAAAAAATAAAGTGGGGGAGCGAGGGAGCCAGACTAACAGAGACACATGGGAAATTACTTTGTTAGCAAAGTGTAAAAGTAGTGCGTATTGTCACTTAGTCTTAGGACTGTTACTGTTAAGACTCATTTACACCTCTGTCCCAGGATCACAAAATGAGCCAGAATGGTCTGATAAGAACGGTAAAGCTGAGACCTACGCTATTTTGCACTGCTCTGCATTTTTTCTTCTTGCTTTGAGCTCTGCACCTGTTTTCCTCTTCTAATCGAACAGAGAGAACCAAGTGACCGTGATGAATGGAGGCAGCCCAACCGCAAGGCGGGAGGAGAGAAGAATAGCCAGAGGTATTTCTTCAACTTCTGCAGTTGGGTAAGATTTCTAAACCAGCCTGTTATCAGCGTTAAGTCAAATTTTATAAAGAACTAAGTCCTCATGACAATGTTATCTCCAGATACTCTTTTTTTCCCTTACCACATTACAAAAATATCTTTAAATGCTGGGAACTTACCAATATTTAAAAATGTTTACTGTTAGCAAAAATAAACGTCACGATGTTTCACAGCTGGATAGTGCACGATTTAATGGATAGAGGAGAATGGTCTCTGGTAACAAGCTCCAACTGGTTCATCAGATGTCCTGTATTTGGGAATGGGAAGAACAGGAGGCAAAAATTAGAACCTAAACTTAAGACAAAACCCCTCAGTGCCACATAATTACAAGCAATGGTTAAATAACTGCGCATTTGCAACACGGTTTGCCGTTCTGAACAAGAAATATTCTGACATATAGGAAATATATTCTGACATACAGGAAACTTATTTAGCCCTTGTGTTAAGTTAGAGCTTAACGCACAGATTTTAAGACTATTAACAAGTGACTATGCTTCGACAGAAGTGCTTTGAAGAAGTCACTGTAAAAACCAGTACCTTACATGAGGATTTCAAACAATTTTAACAATACTGTTTGATCTAGTTATCATCATAGAGCTTCAGTTAATGTTTCTGCAACACCTGCCATTCACACGCTTTAAAGGGGGTTCGTATTAATCTAACCTCCCAGTCACAGCGATTCCCCTCCAAACCAAAACATTTGCCTAAAGTTACAGAAAAGTTATGTGCCCACATTACACAGAGTAAGATATTTGAGTTCTAGTCCTGCCCAACTCAACCGACACAGCCTTCAAAAGCCAGGGTCACCCTCAAATTAAAGAACAGTGTGCACAGAAGCACTGAGTAAAGCAGTTTGTTCCTCTTACAACATTAAAAAAAAAAAAAAAATTGCAAAAAGAAACCCCACAAAGATACAGAAAAAGAGGCAAATACCTAACAGAAGGTAAAAACCTTCTCTTCCGTGCCTGTAAAAGCTACACAGCCCAAAATACAATATTCCAACTGGTAACAATTAGCTAATACAACAGGATGCACCTTTCCTTACGGGGCACTAGGTGCGTGCTCTAGTTCAAAATGCTTACTTGCAGTAATATTTCTTTATATTTCCTCTGCATTCCCCTTACTCATTTCCCCATAACTTCCAACTCCATCCATCTGCATATTTCCTCTGCATTCCCCTTACTCATTTCCCCCATAACTTCCAACTCCGTCCATCTGCCTCTCTCTCTCCATCCTCTCTCTCCATCATGGAGAGCTCCACCACAGTACAGAAACAGTTGGCTCGTATCATTCCCCTGTTTTTGTTCTCTGTTCTCTCTCTCATCTGGTCGCGCCAAGAGAAGAACAGATCCAACGCTGCCTGTACCACAGACCTTGCAGAACGCAGTAGGAACATGGACGAGCTAGCCAGTGCTTAAAAAGCAAGTATCTTACAGGGTAGCAGGCTTGAGAATCCTGGTGATATCAAAAAAACCACCCCCGAATGTAACTACAGATATATCTGCTATCCTAGCAGCGAAGATTAAAAAACAACCTGAAAAAATCCAAATGCCTGTGGCTAGTATGACACTTACCTGTCCAAGTGCCATTAACTCCTACAAGACCTTAAACTTCAACTTGAAAGAGATGAGTCACAAAGGGAATCTAAGCAAAAAGGCAAGGCCCTTGTGCATCTATTAGACAAAAAACAATCTAAAAAGCACCTTAAAAAAAAAAAGTTTGAAGAACTGCAAGCATATCACACAGGGAATTGCCCTGAAGAACGGTTCTCCCCAAACTTTCTCATTGTTTTTTGGCTTTTTAACTAGGGGATCTTTGCTAAAGTTCCCAAACTCAGCACGTCAAAAGGGAGGGAGCCAAAGGAGGAGGAAGAATCACGAGGTAATTTTTAAAGAGAAGCAGTGGGAAGAACCAAGGGGAAGAGCACCTAAGAGACAGAAAAGACACGTAAGGGGTCAGGAATAATCCAAGAGTAAAAAAATCAACCAGTGCAAAACTAAAGATAACGTAAGAGGTGCTCTGTGAGCAATCTAATTTTGTTTGTACAATTCGTGGTACAAGCACTTAGGGCCTTGGGTAAGTGTCCCTTTTTACTTTTTAGTATAAATCTCATAATCCAGATTTGATCAACTATTATTAAAAAAAAGAAAAAGTGGATTGAAGCCAAGAAGGATACAGTGGTAATAAGAAGGAAGTCAATAAGCTAGTTTTATATTTAGCCACCACCTCATTCTCCAGTACTACAGTGGCAGGACTTTCAGGAGTACAGCATCCTGACGACTTCGTTTATCAGTACTTAAATTAGTTGGTGTCAAGTTTGGGTATTTTAAGCACCTAATGGCTAATACAGACCATCAATTCTTCTCTTTCAGGGCACGATTTGAGCACTAGTCAGAAAGGTATTTCCTCCAATGGCGTATTCAGTGCAAAAGGTGCAAATTTTGCTTAACTCTTTCCTCAAAGAGAGTGAGCTAACCGCCCAAAATATCAACTCTTTCTGCAGAGTTCTTCATCACAAGGTGAGAAATACCAGGAAACAAACTCGCTTGGATGGAATAAGCAGTTTGTTCATCACCTGAGGAGGAAATAATTAGGGAAGATAACTAGGTATTTCAGTATACACAGGTATAAACCTATTCTTTAATACGTAAAACCCTACTCACTTTTCTACGTAGGGATCTTAAGCAGCTAAATTCCTGGCACACACTCTGACATTCCTGTTACTAAATTTATTTTAATCCATACATAAGCTAGTAGCTGTGTTTGTAGAATATTTCCGACGCCTCGTTGCCTCCCTCTGTTACAGGAGACCCCAACCCACTTTTACTATAAAGCAAACGCTGGGTAACTTCCAACATCTGCAGAATGTTTTTCTTCCCGAGTGCATACACAAGCCAAGCAAGTAACAGGACAGAAGGGATGGCCACTGCACGGGCTGGAATAAAAGTGAGCCACATCCTCCAAAAGCAAGGCAAAAAGGGGAGTTTCAGCTCTCACTTGGCATCTACCTGTTACATTTCAGCAAAGCTGCTGCCTCTCTCAGCAGCTGCACGGCTCCTTCCAACGCACACGTGCATCCTTACCTATGTGCAACAAAACACCGCACAGTGGAACACATTTCCATCTAATTAGAATTACTGTCAAGGATCTCATCCTGCCTGCGAAGCACTCAGAGGCTATTCAAACCCAAGATTTCAACAGCAGTCAAAACACAAACTGACGTTTCTTAAATGCATGGGTATGAAAGAAAGTTGAAGCAGCTGTTCAGAAAATAACTGCACCACAGCTAACTTGGTAAGGGACAGAAAACCCCACCCACGAGCCTCTGAACTCCATCATATCTCGTAGGAAATTCAGCGAGGACTTCACACTCCTTTGCATTTATGAAGAATAAGCATTTTTAGCACAACTATGATTTTTCATCGGTATATTTGAAAATGTTTTGGCAGAGCTGAGTAAACCGCAGCACCCCTGTTTCACAGGAGGGGAGACTGATAAAAAAAGCTGTTACCACACCAGCACATTCGATCGACAGCTGTAGGACAGGAACTGAATCCCAAGCAGCTATCCCTGCAAAACCTGGACATCCTCGTGCACCCAAATACAGCGAGGCAGCACAAACCAGAGAACTATTGAACTGTTTAGGGAAGTCGAGATTCCTTCCTCCTGCATCTCAAGTGAAAGAAGTCCCGCAACAAGCGATACACGCTTTTATTTCTCATCCTGCCTCAAGGACTAAAGATCTAGAGGGAACTGAGAAAACCAACTACTGAAGGTTGTATTTAAGGGGGCTGTACCACAAACGTACCGTCTAGTGAAACAGAAAGTCCTCAAGAGGGAATAAAGTGCAGTTTTGAAGCAACGAATTTTAACGCTGGAGTCCCGACTGTCATTGTACTCGACCAAAATATCATTAAAATGCTCACGGAGATCCGTAGGCGAGGAGCAAGCCCGCAGTACTTCACGCAGACCAAATGCCTGTCTCCACCTCGCAGCCGTGGTAGGTCCTCGTACTCTCGCCTAGCGTGACCCCTGCTATCTGCAGACAGCCCCACGGCGTGCTTCCTTTCACTATTAATACATTTTAAGTTTCAAATATCACACACATAAAACACAGGTAAGCTACGCCTTTAGAAATATTCAAGCCAGTCGTAAGCCAGAAGCAAAACTGAAAGACGGTATTAATCCTTTTGTGCAAAGTGTCAGAATTTTCTAGGGTAATGCTTGCAGCCAGGAATGGACACGAACCACTGGCTCCTGGGAATTGTAACAGCCATGTGGGATAACCATTACAACTGCAGGTAGCTCTTCAAAGACTTAAACTAAGCCCTCTCTTCGCCCTTTTGTTTGCCCATTAAACTAAGCACACAGGAGCAAGGAAAACCCCTGTGAATGCTTTTTACCAATTTAGGGGCAGTCTAGAGAGCGTTAGGGAGTGCTCTGGAGCGGCCAGTAAAACCAGCAGGAAGGGAAAAACGTCCTGGGAAAGGTTGAGCTGTTGATGAAATAACTCTCCTCTGAAAGCAAGCAATAGCAGTTTGGATTGGGTGTTAGCCTGCTGCTGCGCTGCCGAGAGGACAGGAAACTTTGCTTAGAAACTTCAAAAACACGTATCTAAAAAAAAAAAAAAAAAAAAAAAAAATCCACACAAGTGGATAGCAAAGACAAGAAGAATATGCTCAACCTCACAGCGACACAGAACATTACCGGTGGAAAAGCAGCCCTATTAACAGCAAATAACAGATCTTTCAAACACAAGGCATTTTTCCTTTCGACGGAGGACTGCTGGGGAGGGGACTGCTGGGCAGGGGAGGCCACTAAACTGGTTTTCTTTTAAGCACTTCCAGTTATTAAAAAAAAAAAAAAAAAAAAAAAAAAAATCCTCTTGCGAAGAACATATCCAGTGTTGTACAACTGTCCCAGAAAACAAAGACCACGGGGAGAAAGTGGCCCATTTTCTGCGGTCTCCAAGAACCCCGTGTACGGGTCATGTTTTCAAAGGCTCAATCCTACGCACTCTAGACTGAAGCAGCGTTTACAGTATACGAATAAACGCCTAATGCTAGAGCTATTACAGTACCCCCTTTTTTTGGTACCATACCAAAATTGACTCAATTACACCAAAGCTAACGTAGAGTCTATGAAAGCAACTGCGAGAGAAGTTTAGCTGTGAGCGAGTTTCCCCCTCCTGGACAGGCTGCATCAAAAGCAGAAGACTCGTTTTCTATTTCAGTTACGGTTATCCCACTAGTGCACCCAACCACGTAATATTTTTCAGGAGCCTACGTTTGGGAGCTCCCCTAAATACTCTTCTGTAGCTCTGCTCCAGCCCACGGGGCAGCCTCCTCTACCCGTTTCTTGTCAGTTCCCGAAAAACACCTTAAAGCGATAATTCCTCACCACATGCTGAAAATATTGTGACTAATAATATACTCCACCCATTTTTTCCATCACTGAGGATTTAAAAATACAAAACTTGACAGTGAGAGAAGCTAGACGGAATTTAGAAGGGGGAAAGTCAAATTTTGTTTCCAATTAAAAGATGCTATAAAAACATAAAATGCTCAAGCAAGGTATTGCTAAAAGTGGAAGAGCTATCCAGTCACAGCAAGCTGCTTCCTCAAAATTGTGTTTTTCTCACTCTTCTTGGATAACGTGGCTTTTCCCTTTAATCCCCACAACAAAAAAAAAAAAAGAAGAAAAAATACTCCCTCTCCTTTTTGAGAAAATACATCATTGTATGCATCAGAAGCAGAGCTGCTCCATGCACACTGAGAACCCACACTTGTAATAAATACTTGATCGAGTTCAAGAACTGAGACCTGGATCTATATTACAGCGACTAAATGCTAAAAATGATACCAGTGATGCAATTAAAATGCATGCAAGAACTTTGGTACAGGTGCCTACAATACCACTGCTTGCAAAACACATCTCCTAATTAGCGTGGCTTTAAACAATGCTGATAATAATCCGGCCCTGTAAAGCTTGCCAAATGAATCATTGAGATTGCAAAATAAAAAGCATGAGGAATTCATTAAAGAGCTGTTAAACTCTCCTTTGTTTATCTTTCCCCTGTCAGGTGTAAAAATAAATAAATATCGGTTTATACCTCTGGATTTCATCCGAATGCTCAGCTTCACAACAACGCGCCGGTGAAGAACCTCCTCAGGAGGTACCAACATTTTTTCCCCCCCCCCCCCTCCATTTCAAAAGAGAAATCCTCCCACTATTACAGTCCCGAAAATCTGCTCCATTCTCTATTTGTCATCTGGGATTGAGTTATCAGACACTACTTGTATTACTTTGGGAACTGACATGTCTATTTACAGAGACACAAAGGCAATCCAGCAGCACAACCCCTTCTTTTCCCAGCACCTTTCCCAGCACCTCTCCTTCTCCCCTCAGCCAAATTTTACAAACACTTTCTTCTGGGGAGAGGGGAGGACACCTCACTAGTTTCCCAGCATGACAGAAAACATTTCCAGCCACTTTTGCACTTGTTACAGCATTATGAAATACCACCTATATCCCCCCAAAGGAACAGCATTATTTTTTCAAGGGTTTTTTTGGGGGGTGGGGGTTGTTGCTGCTTTTTTTTTTTTTTTTTTAAAAGGGTCACTTCCCCCATTTCAGCCTGCAATTAAAATGGAGGCAAGGCCAGGCGATCTATGTCTGGCTTTAGGGGGAGACAATAACCCAAAACAGGCCTGGCTTTAAAAAAAAAAAAAAAAAAAAAAAAAAAAAGAAGAAGAAGAGAGGGAGAAAGAGAGAGGGGGAGAGAGAGAGGGAGAAAGAGAGAAATACAACATGCTTCACCAGTATTATTACCTCATCCCTTTTTCCAAGCAGTTTTGAACCACACTCCTGACAAACTCTTGGTCCAACTTGCACGGATGCTGGTTTTTAGGGGGCGGAAAGGGTTTTAATGCTGGAGCCGGGATTGAGGCTGGCTATTCGCAAGTGGAGCTGCTGTTAAAATGCCCCCTTGTCTCTTCTCCTCTCCCTTGAGCTGGGTGTTGACGCAG